CTCCACCCCACCAGCTACTCCTGTACTCCCACCATCTACTCCACCACCCTACCAGTTACTCCACCACCCCACCAGGTACTCCACCAGCCCACCATCTACTCCAACCATCCCAGTAGCATCTACTTCACCACCCCTACCAGCTACTCCACCATCCCAGCAGCTACCCTCCACCTCACTCACTCACTACCCAATCGCTCTGCCTAAATCTAGAACACTTCTAAATATAGCGTACAAGTATCCCTGACTGAATGTACAGGAACAGTGTGTTATGCAGTTAAATCATTGTTGCACAGGGTATACTGATACTGCCCTCAAAACCAGCTACTCCACCACTCTCACACAAGCTACCCGCAACCCCACCAACTACTCCAGCACCCCACCATCTTCTCTCTCCAGCACTCTGCCAGCTACTTCCACCACCCCAGCATCTACTCCACCACCCACCCAGCTACTCCACCACTGCATCAGCTACTCCACCACCCCACCAGCTATTCAACCATCCTACCAGCTACTCCCACCCCACCAGCTACTCCACCACCCCACCAGCTACCCACCACTCTCCACCAACCCTACCAGCTGCTCCACTACCACCCCACCAGCTACTCCACCACTACACCAGCTACTCCTGCAACCCCACCAACTACCCAGCACCCCCACCATCTACCCACCACTCTGCCAGCTACTCCATCACCCCACCATCTACTCCCACCACCCACCCAGCTACTCCACTCACCGCATCAGCTACTCCACCACCCCACCATCTACTCCACCATCTTACCAGCTACTCCACCCCACCAGCTACTCCACCACCCCACCAGCTACTCCACCAATCCCTACCAGTTACTCCACTACCCCACAAGCCACTCCACCCACCCCAGCATCTACTCCACTGACCCACCAGCTACTCCACCCCACCAGCCACCCTGTACCCCACCATCTACTCCACCACCCCACCAGTTACTCCACCACCCCAGCATCTACTTCACCACCCCACCATCTACTCAACCATCCCAGCATCTACTTCACCACCCTACCAGCTACTCCACCACCCCACCACCAGCAGCCCCACCACCCTACCAGCTACTCCACCATCCCAGCAGCTACTCCCTCCACCTCACCTGCTACCCAATCGCTCTGCCTAAATCTAGAACACTTCTAAATATAGCGTACAAGTATCCCCTGACTGAATGTACAGGAACAGTGTGTTACAGTTAAACCATTGTTGCACAGGGTATAATACTGCCTCAAAACAACTCAAGTGCTGGGTAGACACGCACAAGACAGATGTAGATTGAAAGAAGAAACATTACCTGAATGGTTTAACCAAGTGCTGCTCAAGGACTGCTTGTGGAACCATCCGTATTTATTTGGATCAAACAAGGAAGATGTGACATTGAGCTTTCTTTGATTGGCCATCGTGTTAGACTAACTATATTTGGAACGAGGAAGTTATATTGAAGCCGGATTCAAACCCACTTTAAACAACCATTCTTTTGTTCTTTCTTTCTTTCCTAAGCAAATCAATCAAAGAATCATCATTGTCCAATACTCACGATCTAACCCAAACGTATTGTCCATGTTAACCCTTACATAAACAGACAAGTATATGTTTCCAAGGAATGCGGATGTGTCGCTATAATATGACCCAAACTGCTTATAGAAACATCTGATATCCTAATGGATGAAAACAACAAACATTGTTGACGCTACCCTCCTCAGTAAACAATCCTGAACAATCATCTCGAACAACAGTTGGTTGTCAAGAATAATTCATGTAATCATTATTTTAAATCCAGGTAACCGCCGCCATGTAGCTGGAATATTGCTGAGTGCGGCGTTAGCAACAACAAAACCAAACTAAGGTATGAAGGTGGTCTTTCTGGTCAAGAGAATATATTCAAAATGCAGGGCAAAATAAATGATACGCCTTTGTTTCAAGGTGTATTGAAATGAAGCAAAATTGTTATTCGTAGAAGATATATCTGATACTGATAAAACATTTGTGTTTTGTTGATGTTTCTAGCACAGTAATGTTACCATGACGTTTGTAGTCAAATCCAAATTTCAGATGTGAATGAGAGAAAGACTGTATTCAATTGAACAATATCATGTTTGGGGACCCATTACAACACACAACTTAGGTATGACATTTTAAAAAGAAATAGAATTAATTGAATGGTTTTTTTATTAAACCACTCTGACACCTCCCGCCTCTCTGTTACCAAGTTACTCTGCTCTTTACTCAATTACACTACCCAGCATGGTACTTACCATGAACCTTCAGTAACCCATGCTTGTCGTAAGAGGCGACTAACGGGATCGGCTGGTCAGGCTCGCTGGCTTGGCTGCTACATATCATCGGTTCCCAATTGCGTAGATCGATACGCATGCTGTTGATCACTGGATTGTCTGGTCCAGACTCCGATTATTTACAGACCGCCGCCATAAAGCTGGACTATTGCTGAGTGCGGCGTAAAACTAAACTCACTCACTCACTCACCAACTATCCAGATACGCCCTAGCCAACTTGTTTCTACAGTACAGTGCTCATGCTCCATGTGCTTCTCCTACCCAATACCAAGATTCTCGGCACTTACCACATTTTAAATGTAGAATTTCTGTTATTTGAAAATTAGGCTAAATTTCCTACAATCGCCAGTGGCTGAAGGGATGTAAAACCAACTAGGGCTGATGCAGGTAGCAAATGTACCTGTAAGTCCCCATGGTCCCTAGCATGGTGATCTACCTTCAGTTGCTGGTGATCTCTAGCCCGTTTTATTGTTGCATTGTTCATAAAATTTGTTTAATTTTACATTCGCCATGCTAGTTTTAATTTTTGTCTGTGATAATCTATTTTTACTGTCCATCGTCGACAGGTTCTTTTTATGATTTGATTGCATTTATTATGAATGTGTAATTTGTTAAAAGTCACGATATGGCTGGAAATATTGCCGATGTGACTATAAAGCTTCACTCATTCACTCACTCAAGATTCTCGGCCTGTTGGTCGGGTACTCTGCCACCCTGGTACATTGCTACCAAGATACAGGGCTACACTGCTGTACCGCTACTCCACTATTGTGCTATCACACTACCGTGGTAATTCCATTAAACAGATACCACTACCTCCCTACCCCCACCGTGCTGCTCCAACCCTAACAAAAATACTCAGCTACTGCATACTCCCTGGGACTTCCACCCAGATAAGGTCTCTGATAGTGAATATTGTTCGTGACTTCCTGAGATAAACTGACGTCGGAACATTATTCACGGTTTCTTGCACATGCCTCTTAAAAGAGCTGCATTGTCAAAGTTAACGGCGATATGTCTTTACAAACGTAATAACAATAATATTCTTGGTAAAGGAACACATCATACAACGGGTACAGTCGTGCGTTTGGGGATTTTCATTAAGATTGAGCATTCTATGCAGCTAGTCTTGGCAAGTTGACTATAAAAGATACCTTCTCTTATTGTGTCCTTTTCTGTGGATTTTGCGAGCTGATATCTGGACAAACATTATCTGAACGTGCAGCTTTTGCTGGATTGTGCGCATCAGTGTTTACGTCACAAGGTCACTCATTACGTAGCGTTACTTCACAGACAGTGACAATGCTCATCACCCAAGTCTTGCCCCTGCTAGATAGTGAATATCGATATCACTCACAGGTATGTTGAGAATGATAATAGTGGGCAGTGAGGGAGTGTGGAGTGAGTTACGTCTCTTTACGTCGCATTGGTATTATTTCAGCCCCATAGCAGGGAGACCAAATTTACACTACGGATACGTCCGCTAATTAAAGTCACACTCAAAAGTAAGTTTGTTTATACACACTAACAACACTGTTTACAATTTGAAAGAAAGGGCTACATCATTATTATTCACAATCGAGATCACGGGCCAAAAGCCAATATTTAGACACACAGAGACACACACACACACACACTCTCTCTCTCACACACACACACACACACACACACACACACACACATATATATATATATCTATAGTTTTACGATACAGACAAGTTAATTATCAGATGACAGGTCAGATGGACTAACAGGATCTTTCAGGCTTCACTTCTAGGTTTGCTTGACAAGTGAGCCATCATCATCACATAGGAGGCTCGTCCTCATCCCCGTGAAGATCCGGGTTAGAACTGGTCTTCAGTAACCCATGCCTGTCGTAAGAGGCGACTATTCATCATATCCCAATTGCGTAGATCGATTGTGTCTGCGTAATCCCCTTAAATGTCGGCTGTCGTCAAATTTGAAGACATTAGGACAGGGTACAACAGTTCATGGTGATATCGCGTTAACGAGAGTTTGAAAAGTGGTCAAAGTGGCGTGGTGACCTTGAAGATATGGTCAATATCAGGCAAAGTTATACGTTGTGCAACAATGTTGCACCTATTGTCCAGTGTACCCGTAGAGTCAGTGACAGCCAGTAGTTATGAGGCAGTGCTTTCGTTGTGCAATAAATGTTGCACCTATTGTACAGTGTACCCAGAGACAATGACGGCCAGTAGTAATGAGGCAGTGCTTTTACGTTGTGCAACAATGTTGCACCTATTGTACAGTGTACCTGTAGAGTAAGTGACGGGCAGTGGTGTGCTGTGTCTGTGACGGATATGGAGTATCTAGCAACATATTTTGTTTATATAGGAGGGGAGCAAGCCTATTGCCTCCAGCGTTACCAGAAGCCCAGAAGCCCAACATTGTGTGCGATCATCATGTACCCTGGCTTACCTGAGTTGCAAGTTGTCCCCCGTGAAGATCCGGATTAGAATTGATCTTCAGTAACCCATACATGTCGTAAGAGGCGAGTAACGGATCGGGTGGTCAGGCTCGCTGACTTGGTTGACACCTGTCATCGTATCCCAACTGCGTAGATCGATGCTCTTACTGTTGATCACTGGATTGTCTGGTCCAGACTCGATTATTTACAGACCCTCTGCCATATAGCAGGAGTATTTCTGAACAACAAACCATAGTTGCAGACTAGATTACTGTTACTTAGAGGTGCATATTAGCATCATTGCCTCCTTGTAGCCCCTTGATCACTGGTCTTGTGTCATGCAGCCTCTGAACTTGAATGATACTCTATTTTCTTCTGCCACAGTGCTACCTCTTGTATTAATGTGTATTGATTTGTAAACTCTAGTTTATTGTGGAATACAATTGTTAATTCTTGCACATTTCTTTGTTGTTGGTTTCACGCATAATTCCCTGGATGCCGAGGGTTTTTTCAGGCGCACATTTTCATAAGCTTTGAAAAGCGTACGTTGTGCGAGAATTGCCCTCGCGTGGTCCTGGATCTGCGTGCGGCTCCCTAAAATTACCACTCAGAAATGTGTATATTAAATTTCCTATCCGTTGGTATAAATATAAGTGTAAATACATCCGCGGTTTGAGAAATGGACACTGCTAAATGTTCTCCAAAATTTTATTATGCGTTAATTTCTCCGCTTATTTATCTTGCACCGAAAAAGCACTGTGCTACGATTTTTTAATTTGGCGTCTTTACGAAAAGTGGAGCAAAGAAAAATGTACAGCATGATATCTGAACGACATAAGTATATATGACATGGGATTGTGTGCTTATGCATAACGTTATACACCTCAATCTTAAAATGACATCAACCGACGACAGAGCGGTCATACACGTATAAAGCGATAAGGGGGTATAACTCCGCTATGCTTAACACTAGGTCATCGTTACTCAGATCACTTGAGAGAATTTGTGAGTGTGAATACGAACGCCACATTTTCGTTATGTTTTGTTCACACATGAACCAAAAATATTCCAATACAAAATTTCCCAGTGTGAGCGGATACGTTTTGGTAGTTTCACAATTTATAAGAAAAGATGACAACGTACTACACGAGAAAACACGTAAAGGATTTGATGGCCTTATCCGATATGTAAATTCAATTCTTAGATTCCCATATTCTCCTGTTCGTGTAGATGCATTTTGATTCATGTTTGCATCATTATTAACAGAGTACCAGCCCTATGTAAACTATTTAGTGTCAGGTTGAGAATCAACACGCAACTGAAGCAGATAACTTGTAACATATTGCCTGGCAACGTCAAAGTGAGGATACATTCAAATCTGGGTTACAACTGCATTGCTGGTGTGTTGCCTACAAAGAAAAACTTTGGTTTCACACTGAACTCTTTTGAAGATGTTGAAGATCGACACATAATAACT